TGATTTGAAGTCAGAGGTGCAGTGCTGAACCAAGACACACACACACACACCCATGAACAGTACCACGATCGCTTGTACAAGGGCTTTGAGAACTCATATAGCACATGCCCAAGGGCCAAAACTCTCTGCCCCATCTTCTAGCACTCGTACGACATCTTCGAGCGCTCGTTCTACTGATGGCTTAGTAGAAAACTGAGTTTAAAATGTGATTTTGAGAACTTTTTGGGCCCTTTTTGGAAAAAAAGTTGTGAAATAACCTCCCTTAAAATCATGTTTTCTGGTTAACCATGTCAAGACCAGCATTTATTTTTTAGGTGAAATACCAAAAATGCCCTTGAGGTCTGATTTAGCAAAAATGTGAAAATGAATGCTACTCTAAGTGTTCATTTCATCAAAAAAGGTGTTGTGTGCCAAAGTGAACATGCACGCATATGTAAAATGAATAAATACATATGTTCCAATAGCCCATGGCCACATAGCATGTCATTTACAAAATACGACCTATCAAACCTCGAATTCTCATAATTTCATAAGACAAACTATGTGATTAAACTAGCATACATGTGATATAAATGTACATGGCACTTGGCCGCATGTTATGCATACAAAATAGACATCTTCAAGTGTTCTTAGATATACATTACACATCAAGGAAGCCATCTTAGCTTCTACAATACCATACATCCATGGTATACAAAAATTTAACATCCAAAAGGAAGGCATGCTAAACAAGTGCATGTTAATATACAAAAATGCTTCAAATAGCTCAAAAACTTCTAAGGATGATGAGCATCCAAGAACATGGTCTCTTTACCTAAAAAACAACCCAAACCACTAGGGTGAGTAATTAAGTTACTTGTAAGAAGAAGCATATGCGTATACCCTAAAGTTTCAATACCATTGCAAGATCAATATAGACGAATACAAGGGAGCATTCCACTTAACGTCTATATTCAAGGTATTCTAAGGGATCATCTTAAGCTAACTTGAATGATTATTTAGCAATATATGTCAATATCAATGTACTTAACAACATCAATTCACCAATAACAAGAATTTCAAGCTACAATTAAGCATTGGTTGTCAACTTGAAATTTAATGCGAAATCAATTAGTGGAATAATTGGACATCACATCTCGGACTAAACCAAGAGCAAAATGGTTCTTCTGGGCATTAACCCGCTGGGAAGACCACCCTAGTGCGCACTATCTCAATTGGGGAGAACTCATACCACCCGCACTAAAGCCAAACTTTAGCCATGTCACTTAAATAATGTCCCAAGATAATCCAAAATATATCAAGTTCAAAACTCATATATATATATAATAAAGCATATCAACCACCTTACAAGCACAAGTACTTTGAAACCACACAAACCGTGTCTTAGGGTTCTAAGTCTAGAATGGCATGCTAAATGATAAGTACACTTCATGATATTATGCATAATATAATACCACTAACTTATCAATTCAAGTCATGCCTCAACAATAAGCTCTATATACTAATTATCATCATTTTAGCAATAAGCTTCTAAATTAATCACAATTTGTAATTCATAAGAATATAGAATTATTATCACAGCAAATATTGCAATTCAAGTCAATAGAATTTGCATATACATTTATAATTCTACAAGAGTTCTATATCACAACACATGTGAAATTACTAGAATTTAGCATATCACTAAATTATATAATTCTTCTACAAATGGTTTACACATATCATACATTCTTAAATCAATAAACCCTAAGTCTAGATGTGAGGGTTTCCTATAATATGCAAGACTATCATATTAAAAGCATGTATATAATATATATTAAACCCCAAGGATTATAAAACACTTAGAATATAAACATACTACCACCCTTATCTCAATAGAGAATCGAATCTCTATAATCCAAGCAACCAAGCTCAAAATGTAAAATAAGTTTAGGGTTATTGAAGAGGAGAGTGAGAGGAATCTTTTCTCTCCCAAGGTTTTTACTCTAAGGTGAATGGAAGTGAGTCAAATTGAAGGGATAAGCTATGAACTAAGCTTTCCTCCAATAGTGGATTGGCTAGGGTTCATGAGAGACAATGAAATGAAAAAGGTAAAATGTAAAATGGTGAGTGGAAGTGCTAGAAATCCTTCACTCACTATGTGCTCTTGCACTACCTCTCTCACACACACAATGCAAGACTAAATCTTGATCCTACACTTGTCACTAATCTAATGCTCCACCCTAGGCTTAATCTTAAGCCTACACTTGTCACAAATCAATGGCTATATGTGCACTAATCTAAGGCCAACAAGTGGGTGAATCTCCACCTTCGAAATGTCAAGAAGTCATGGTGCCAAGTCTCTTCACCCAAATGCCAACAAATGGCTCCATGAGAGTGTGACACTTGTCATACTTTCCAAAAATTGCAAAATGGTCCTTTTTCAAAATATCTTCAAAAATAAATTGCAAAAAGGTCCCTAAAATGAAAAATAATCATTTTACATAATTATACTAAAACCCCAAACGTTATGAATAATTACACTAAATTATGCATTCATGCCATTTATGAATAAAGTAAGCAACTAGCATGCTTTTCAATAAAAGTAAAAATGCCAATGTCATGGAAATCAAATATCATAAATGCATGCAAAACCGGAATCAAATCCGAACACTAGAAGTGAGGTTACGTAAGGAAAAACGATAAACGGGAAAAAGACGAAAAAAGAAAAAGACAAAAAAAAAAGAAAATCGCCGAAAATGGAAAAGGAGGAAAAAGACCGGGTCATTACAAATTCTTAAGTGTGGTGGGTCGAAAATGACGAACAAAGTTGAACTTCACTGCTGCCAAGTTGCTTTTGGTCTCAGTCCACTTTGGCAGTCATCCTCCTGAGTGCTTTTTGCAGGGAAAACATGAGATTAATGGGTCTCTGGCTTGGCCAAAGTGAAGCTCCCCGGCAACGGCATGCTTTGATTCTTCAAAAACTCAATAAAGCAGCACTTTTAACTATATTTGGTGCACCAACCTGAAAATGAACAAAAACATGCAAATAAAGCTAATATGTATAATATGATCAACGAATGGACTTAATTAATGCAAATAAGGGCGCTTGAATATGCACTATTCAGTGCTTATCAGCTAAGGGATCATCTCAAGCTACATAAGCAACTGAAATGAAACATACGACGCACAAGCATACTAGGCACAAGTATACTAAACATAATGAAATGAAATACACAATATACAAGTATACATGCACAAGTATACTAAATAATTGAAGTGAAATACATGGCATACAAGTATACAAGCTCAACTATACTAAACCATAATGAAACCTCATGCATCATATCACAAGCTACAAATAATCAATGATTAACAGCTTGGAATTGATTGAGAAATCAAACCACATGGAAAACTTAGAGGCGGCGTCTAGTGTGAGCTTAACAACACAAGCTTAAGGTTATGAACTCACAACATAAGACAATACAAGTTAGTTTAGGGCACTAACCCAAGGAACTACCTCAGCAGGCACTATATTGTAGGTAGAACTCGTATCTTCTGTACTGGGGACAAACCTTAGCCATTTCATTAAATCTTTGCCCCAAGTATTTCCAAAATCAACAAGTGTCACAACAATCACAAGTGCAATACACCTTAGACTCTCATATTTGATGGATCAAGCACTCATGATGGAGGAGGAGCTAAAATAGTCATTATTTCACCAAAAGAAAGAAAAACCACATTTTCTTTCTTCTTTGATTTCAAGTGTACAAATAACCAGCTGAGTATGAGGCGCTAATTATTGGGCTGAAAATCCTACTGGAGTTAAAGGTGGATAAGGTCCAGATTATTGGAGATTCCAATTTGATACTGAGCCAACTTTTTGAAGAATATAGATGTTTCAACTTGAATTTGAGGCCTTTCCACTCTGTGGCCTTGGAATTACTATGCTAATTTGATGATTTCCAACTCGAATATTGGCCAAGGCATTTAAACACAAAGGCTGATGATCTAACACAATTAGCTTCTCGAGTAAAATTCCCACTTGGTGCAAAAGAGAACTTGATTAGAATCAAAAGAAAGACTCCACTTGGTGCATAAGATGGTAGGTTATTTCCATACGGACAGGCCAGAAAGAATCAAACCTGCTAAAAAGACATGGGAGATTTTCAATATTGATATAGATGGATTAGACTTGGAAGATTTGAGAACACCAATTATCCATTTCTTGCAGGAGCCTAATCCTAAGGTGGGCAAGAGAGTTCAGCTTTTGGCACCTCACTATATTCTGATTGATGAAGATCTTTACAAAAAGAACAAAGAAGATGGACTCTTGCTAAGATGTCTTGGCAGGAACTAGTCCATGAGAGTTATGGTAGAATCATACCTTCGAATATGCGGAGCACATCAAGTTGGAATCAAGATGAGGTGGCTTCTTAGGAGGTACGATTATTATTGGAAAGCATATTGAAGGATTGCATAGAGTTTGCAAAGACTTGTATTGCATGTCAAGAACATGTCTCGGTCCAAGGAGTTCCAGCTATCAACATATAGCTAATAGTGAAAATATGGCCATTCAGAGGGTGGGCTTTGGACTTTATTGGAAAGTTGATACCACCATCGGCAGATGGCCATACTTATATTGTGGTAGCAATGGATTACTTTACAAAATGGGTAGAGGCTATTCCGTTAAAGACCTGTAAGCAGTCAACAATGATTGATTTTATGAAGAAGCACATTATTCATAGGTTTGAAATTCCAGAGACTATCACCACTGACAAAGGTCTTTCCTTTGTTGAAAACAAAGTTCTTGATTATTGTGCTGAGTGTGGCGTCCAAGTGATTAGTTCTATTCCATATTTTGCCCAATCAAATGGACAGGCTGAGGCTTCCAATAAAGTAATTCTCAACATCCTTGAAAAGATGATTGAAATTATCTAAGAGAGTGGCATCACCTACTTTCTAAGGCTCTTTAGGCTTACAAAAATTCAAAAAGATCAAGTACTGGCGTTACACCATATATGCTTACATATGGATATGATGCTGTTCTTCCAATGGAAATGACCATAAGGTCTATAAGGGTGGCTTTCCAAAATAGGCTCACTCTAGTAGATTACAACCATGCTATGTTGGTGGAATTGGAAGATCTTGACGAAGTCCGTCTTAATGCTTTAGACCATATTATTGCTCAAAAGAAGAAAGTCATACGGTTATACAACAAGAAGGTCAAGGCAAAGATATTTGTTGATGGGGACCTGGTATGGCAAGTCAGATTTCCACTAGGAGTTAAAGACAAGGAATATGGAAAGTGGACCCCTAATTGGAAGGGTCCTTACTTGGTGGAATGAGTCCTTGGGAAAGGGGCTTATAGATTGATGGACATAGATTGAGGATCCCACAAACATCTTGTGAATGGGGTATACTTGAAAGAGTATCACCCTTCCATTTATGAAAACTGGAAGTCCACAATCATTCAACCGACCACATAAAATGGCTGGTATCTTCCTTTCTAAGTAAACCGGAAAGTTGGAAAGGAAGCGTAATGGCCATACTTCGGCCATTCCAAGAAGGAAAAGCTAAGTACTTGGAAAAGTACATTGGCTAAAGTTATGAAGCAAATTTAGCTAAATTTCCAAGATCAGCTGATTTCCTAAGTATGGAGCATTTCATTGAGAAGCGGCTACATTAAATGGTCTAGGTTCTATTCATACTGGAAATTACTCATATTACTTGTATATACATGCATTTCTATGTTAGCAATTCCAAGTTAAGTCCAGCCATATTAAAAAATGCTTCAAAAACTTTTTTTTATCCCTTTGTTTTATACAAAACATCCTCTCATTTTTTCCAGTACTTCTAGTTTTTTTTCTTTAATTTTTTTTCTTCTTCTTCATGATGGCGGAATTCAAATCCCATGCCTTATCATCAAGTTGTACCACAAGGCATGGAATTTGGGGGGCATATATTTACTCCATTATTTTTGGCCCAATAGAAATGCGACATGTGGTGAGTTTTAATGAGCTTGCTACACTGGATTGATGCTTTCAAATATCCAAAAGATGAAGCATGATATAGAATTGTTGAAGTTTAATTATGTGTCATCCAATAATAGGAAGGAAGTATGTGGCGAGTTCTAATGGAACTTACCATGCTAGATCACAATTCTTATAAATTATTATTGGATGTTAACTACGACGTCATGAAGGTCAGCCTAAAATGAAGAAGGCATGGTCCATGGAAGGAAAGGGTATGAGAAGATTTTTATCAGAATGGCCGAACCTTTTTTTCAGAATGGCTGAACCTTTTCCTTCAGAAAGGCCGAACCTTTGGTTCAGAATGGCCAAACCTTTCCTTCAAAAGGGCCAAACCTTTGGTTCAGAATGGCCAAACCTTTCATTCGGAAGGGCCGAACCTTTTGTTTAGAACGACTAAACCTTTCATTCAGAATGGCGGAACCTTTCCTTCAGAATGGCTGAACCTTTTCCTTCAGAAAGGTCAAACCTTTGGTTCAGAATGGCCAAACCTTTCCTTCAGAACGGCTGAACCTTTCCTTCAGAAGGGCCAAACCTTTGATTTAGAATGGCTGAACCTTTTCTTCAGAACGGCTGAACTTTTCCTTCAGAATGGCAAAATCTTTCCGTCAGAATAGTGGAACCTTTTCCTTCAGACAGGCCAAACCTTTGGTTCAGAATGGCCGAACCTTTTCCTTCAGAAGGGCCGAATCTTTCCTTCAGAAAGACGGAACCTTTCCTTTAAAACGGTCGAACCTTTCCTTCTGAACGAACGAACCTTTCCTTCAGAAGGGCCGAACCTTTGGTTTAGCATAGCCAAACCTTTCCTTCAGAAGGGCCAAACCTTTGGTTCAGAAGGGCCGAACCTTTCTTTCAGAAGGGCCGAACCTTTGGTTCAAAACCTTTAGACTTTGGTAATTATCCAAGCCAAGTCAACTCTTTTGCTAAAATTTAGCAAGATATGGGGGTGTTTATCTATTCCATCTAAATAAATATAAATGTATACATATATATATATATGTACAAATTTATATATCGAATTAAACCCACGATGAAGAAGTTACTGAAATTAAGGGACTACGTATGAGGCCATCAAGCAAGAAGGGAAAGTATAATTAAGGAAGGTTACTAAAATCTAGAGAACATGGTCAGTAGATGTGGGGGATGATGTATTCATGGATATATATATATTTACATGTATATTACCCATGATGAAGAAGTCGCTGAAGTCTTGGGGCCACGACGTCATGATATAAAGACCAGAATAGAAAGTTCAACTGGAAGGAAGTTACCCAAAGCCAGGAAAACGTGGTCTGTAAGTAACTTCTATATAAATCCATGATATATATATAGAATTATATAGGGAAAGGAATTCTGTAAAAGGAAAAGACTACAAAGAACGTGGGACACTTGGGCAAATATAAACACTTCAATTGAAAGTGGTGGTACTTCATATAGTAATTACCACTAACTGAGGAAACTGTTGAAGGTTATGGATGACAAGGGTTAAATTAGTGGAATCATGGTCTGAAATAAAGGAGAAGACCACACATGAGGGAGAAGGCTAAGTAAGACATGGGACATGTGGTAAGATCCGGACCTTCCAGGTGGAATTTCTCAACTGCTGCTGGAACTGTCGACTTTCCATCTGGGCTGTTCCAGAACGTGGGTAAAGGCTTGCAAGCATGCATTCAACCACCAAGACTACTATTTATCAGTTATAAGTCATGGAAGAATATGATTTTACACTTATCAACATTGAGAGAATGCACATTCAATATGTTTAATTCAAGTCCCACACTTATTTTTCTTACTTTCCATCACCTTACTTTAAAGTCTTGCACTTTCAATACCACTTTCCTTTCCACTAGCCATAGATTAATCTAGAAGTCCTTTTTCAAGGCAAAAAGAACCTTTGAAGGTGGTAATTCCAGTCCTTCATACAATCGCTTGATCCCTGTAATCTCCTACTGGATAATTGTTCGCATATCCACTTTGGAACGATAGCAGTTCCTGGCACACCCGACATTCACCCTCCTTTCTGCACTTGGAAGGGACCACGATTTTTAGCAGCTGAACGCAATGTATCATTCTTCATCTTCTCGATTAGGTAAAAATTCAAATGTGGGAGGGAGGAAAAATCTATGTCAAGTAGATAGTTCTATGGAGATTGCCGCTGAGGTCAAAACTCTTACTCAAAGGTTTAATAAATTCCTTTTGAGTCAAAACTCGGTAAATCAATCATCCTCGTCTCCCCATCATCATAATGAAATGTACATGACTTGTTCAAGCTATACTCATAACACTTCCAATTGTCCTCTTGGACAGGTTTTTCCAAGTGAGTTTAAAAAATAAGTCAATGCCACCTTCACTCATTCGGGGAAAAACCCCTACTCCAATTCATACAATCTGGGATAAAGGGATCACCTCAACTTTTCTTGTAGAAATCAAGGAACCAGTGCAAAACCTCCTCAAGGTTAAAATTCCCAAAGAAAATATATGCCCCCTCATCTTTAAAACTCAAACTCTCAAGGGTACCGTCCTCCATCCTATCCTCTTTACAATATGAATCACTATTCTTATCCTTAAGTTTCCAATTCTTAATCTTACTCTTATCCACCTTAAGCCCCTCCTAGGAATTCCGCCTTTGAGGACAAGGTTTTGGCGGGCAATCTTGAAGCTAACACTCAATTGCTTCACTCTCATTCCTAATCAATTTCAAAGCTTGAATCCCAAATCGAGTAAATAGCTAATTCCATTAATGTGAAAGAGAAAAGTAAGTTGCCTAGTCAACCCGAGACCAATCCAAAGGCACACTACATGGTGTAAACAAGTCCTTCATCGAGAGTTTCAGGCCATGAGCAAATGCAAGCTATCACCACCTTGAGAAGTGGTAGAAGAATTAATAACCAAGTCAAGAGACTAAGTGAAGTTAGTGAACCGGTGTAACCAAGTGGTTATCCCCATTCCATTCCAAATCATATTCCTATTTCACTAGATGCAAGTGGTTCCGAAAAGAACCTTCCATCATCATCATCCACCCAATTAGAGAAGCCCTATGAGCTGAAGTCTCCATTTCCTCAAGCCTTGAGAGATGCTTCACCATTTGGGAGACAAGAAGGAAAAATTCATGACATGATGGAAGTTTTTAAGCAAGTTAAAATCAACCTTTCTCTTCTTGATGCTATTAGATAAATTTCACCTTATGTCAAGTTCTTGAAGGACTTGTGTACTAAAAAGAGGACGAATAAGGGACAAATCCCTAAGAAAGTGTTTCTCACGGAGCAAGTGAACTTTAATAGGTTTTTGTGAGAGGTCGCTTCACAAGGTCAAAATATGAATGTGGTTTTAAAAGCCTTTTTAGTCAAATTTACATTTATAAAACAACAACTACTACTAATGAAGCATATCGAGTAGTGATGTGCATAAATGTGTACCACTTAAAAATACCACTTATAACAATAACACATTCATCGTTGCAAATTAATGTTAGAGTATGGGGTTATCGAACCATAAGGATTGCTAGTTTATGGCAAAAAAAATTATAAAACTACTTCTTCTTTTTAATAAAAGAAATGAAAAATCGATTGGTTTGTCACTTAACCTATTAATTTAACTTTCAGAAAACAGTAAATAATGTAAAAAGGATGGATCGAGCTTATAAAAAAAAGGCTAGGGAATTGACTTCACCTCAACCTCATAAACATGTAGAATTTGCACTCAACTTGGGATTAACACTTATATATATATAATGATGTGTAGGAGCATAAAACTACCACAACATCGTCAAGAAGATCATACATTCAGGACTAAGTATAACCCATCTTTGGTTAGCATGGTTCAACCACCTAGACTAGATTGTGGTATGCACCATCTTCTCTAGGCATTGCCTATCAAGGTCCTTCAATAATATGTTGCAGCACATGAAATCAATTAAATATCATAGACTATCTTCAGTTGGTAGGGACCATCTACCTAACTACATTAATCTAAAGGCGTAGTATGGTCCATCTTTCTTAGGTATCACATATATAAATGCTTAACGTTATGCCAATATAACCATTCCATAAATTTTTTCCCATTGTCACTACAAGAAATCAAGTGTAATACTTGTATCAATATAATGTCTAAGACAAGATAACAAATCAACACAAATATATATATTCATATGATAAATACATGCATCAATTTAATGTAAAGAATATCAAGTTAATGTAAATACTTCTAATTTATGAAACCAATATATACAGTAAGAATCCCCAAATTGAAATACAAATTAAACCATGTTTACTTGGTCTAGGTTACATCAACTCCCTAGACAAGGGATTTAGCCTCTC